GAGTTGGATTTGCTGCAAGGTGAATTGCGGAAGTAAGGGAAAGTACTCGAATGAGTTAAGTTTGGTTACCTGGAGGTTGTGGCCTATGAACTCGTAGATTGGGAAATATTTTGCGATCGACCCCCTACATCCTACCTAGACGGCCATTTTCATTGATTTAGACATAGCACTTAAAGCCAGCGGAGGCCGGCTGACTGACGATGATGATGGTATGCAATTAATATTGCCGGCAAAGACAAGGGAGACTGGAATGGCCATTTCTGACTTACTAGCCGTCATCAGCCAGTCATACCCAGCCCCAGTTGACGCACCATCCGAGCTTCGAACTCGCGACCTTTCCAAAAAGAGTCTAACGCTCTAAAAATTGAGCCACGAGCTCGTTGTATTGTCGGTTTAAGTTGGGAGATATTGGCTAGACTGCCTAAACTACTAGCCGCTATGGCTGCTCTCAGAGCCCGAGGAATGAGGCCCAAGGTAGAATGGTACAAGTTAGTTTCGTTAGCGGTCGGTAAGCGTTCATCAGTATGGAATGTTTCCGTGCTGCTTACTACTTCACACACTACTAGATTATCGCGACACTTGGAGGCTATAACATGAAAGTTTGCGAATCCTGTTAGTAAAATCTACACTGTAATTACTTTCTTTTTAATACAGCTTCTATGGCATGCCCTCGTAGGGATTGTCGATACAGTTCCCAGGCAGGATATGGAAATAGGAACCGCCCGTAATAAAGCTGGCTTTACGCTACATTTCAGGATAACCCGAGTTAGGATTAGGGTTGGGACACGGGGAAATCTATTTTTTCGTAGAATTTAGCGCAAGTTCGTCTTTATTGCGTGGTGGGCGTTCCTATTCCGGTATTCTGCCGCGTGGGGGGAGGAGAGGAGGAGCGAAAAATTAGCAGATGAGCAGTTCTGGATAGGTGAAAAAATTAACGCGCTCTATCAACTGGACATTACTATTAGCTGCCGTCCGACTAGGTCAAACACGCCTCCGTCCGGTATATTCTTGGGTTCTTGATGGGGGCGTAAAGTGAGACGTTCGCCTTCGAGTCGATGTGCCTATTAAACGGCCTTGTAGCTTTTGTTTAGTGAGCTTTAGTTTGAAAAAAAGAGGTTTTTAGACGACCGGAGTGCCATGGTCTATGCACCCTGACTGGACTTGCTGAAGGTCCCGAAGGAGTGATTGACTGCACAGCGACAGTAGACAATCCTTTGGCCAAAGAAAGCAGTTCCTCCCGCAAAAGATATAGACTGGGCGTTTTTGTACGCGATTCATGACCGGGGGGAGGGTGATTCAACCCACTCGCTTGGACAGTTAATTCGTCGCACTCCTCAAACATGCTTCCCTGGCCTCAGTGGTGTGTTTTTGTGCCCCATAAGTACAAAACGAATAATTTACATTCCTCGTCAGGATAGGGTATGCCTTTTCTTCGTGTAGCGACACACAAGAAAAGGCGTCAACCCCACATGAACAGATGTAAGAGCACTCGCTCACTCACCACTCAATTGTAAGTAACAAACCTTGAGGCGACACATCTGTCGTGCATCCAAATATCGTAGACAATGTAGTGTTTAAAATGTGAAGAAAATGAAAAGAAATTGGGTGGATGTTCTACTCTACGCTCTATGGTTTACAGGTGCATGTAGGGCCCAAATGTGTAGAAAATACAGCCTGTGCCTCATTTATTAGACAATTATTTTAGAATACCTCTACCTGACTGTTTTATTGGAAACTGTTGCCTATTTCAGGTGACTATAACGGATGTGAACGACAACCCTCCCAAGTTTGCTCAGGAGACGTACACATTCCAGATCCTCGAGAACCTGCCCCGAAATTCAAGGGTGGGCCAAGTGATCGCCACTGACCTCGACGATCCTACAGTCCAGGGTCCAATCACCTACT